ACAGCCCAATCCCTCCCTCAAATAAAATAAACAAACTATAAATAAACTAAAAATCTCTTTATATCTGTCTATAGAGATATAAATACTTGCTCTCAGCATAAGAAAGGCTTATTTAATATAAATGGAAACACTTAATGTAAACGTTTTAAAATATACATTATATGTTACGGGCTGAATTATGTCCCCCTCCCAAAACTCTTATATCCTAACACCCAGTACCTCAATGTAACTATATTTGGAGGTATGGTCTTTAAAGAGGAAATTAAGTTAAAATGAGGTCTTGAGGGTGGGCCTTAATCCCGTATGATTAGTGTTCTTACAGGAAGAGGAGATTACGATACACACACAGACCAAGGTATGACCATGTGAGGACACAGTGAGAATGTGACCATCTGCAATCCAAGTAGAGAGGCCTCAGAAAAAAATTAAATTTGCCAACACCTTGATCTTGGACTTCCAGCCTCCAGAACTAGGAGAAAATAAATACCTGTTGTTTAAGCCATCTGGTCGATGGTATTTTGCTGACAGCTCTAGCAAACAGAATGCAGTATGTATTTCAGCAAACTTCATAAACAAAATCAAAAGATAACAATAACCTAGAAAAATATTGGTTACCATACAAAACAGACAAAGAAGGGCCTAGAATCAACAACACTCCAATAACAATGAGCACACCTAGCAGCCAGATCTGGGTCTTAAATACCGTCAGCCAGTTAAAGGAACCGAGGCTCCTTGGAGAAGTGGCTGATTCCAGCAATGCAACAGGAAGTACATAGTATGAGCCTGGTGCAGCATGTAGTGCCAGAAAGTAACAAATTGCTCTCAAAACAACCCCTCACAATTATAAAGGTATGTCAAAGGGACACAGAAAATACCTAAAATATCTCTCAATGTTCAAAGCTTTGAGCAACAAAACAGATACTACTAGATTAAAACCCAAAGTATAAAATACACACATACAAGTCCATATTGATGCAAATAAATCATTAAATAAATAAATAACTGGAGAAGAACAGACAAATCTCTGCAGAAGAATTTCAAATAACTTATATAGATACCCCATCTTGCCCCACAAGGAGATGGAGCATGACCGTTCACTCAAGTGTGGTCTGCACTTAGGAACATCCTTCTAAAGAATACAGCATGGAACCGGGGTAGGGGTGGAGAGTAATTTTACGAGGGCAATTCTAACAAATACTGCCTCAGCCTGGTGGTCAAAGTTAACATCACAGTGATAAGTCATGCTGACAGTATGTGCCCTTGATATAATATGAGATAGAATTTTGCTTCTGTGATCTTCCTCTCCAAAACTCTTATCTCAGTCTCACCATGAGAAAAGCATCTGACAAATTCTAATAGAGTGGCTTCCTATAATATAGTTAGTTGACCAGTATATCTCAAAACTGTCAAGGTCATTTCCCAAGGAAAGTCTTACCGTTACAGCCAAGAGAGGAGCTAAGGAGCTAAGGATGCAAGACAACTAAATGTAATATGCTGTCCTGGATGGGATCCTGGGACAGAAAAAGGATACTTGGTAAAACTAAAGAAATCTGAATAAAGTATGGCCAGTAAACACTTAGAAAAAACTCAGCTACTGGTGTTCAGAAATGTACATTAAAATATATGAGGTTATTATTTTTCTTTTATTTAGCTGGCAAACTTTTTTTAAAACAATGATACCCATGATTGGCAATGTACAGGAGTGTAAGGTGGAACTACCACTCTGGAAGGCATTTTTGGTAATAAGTAAAACATGTGAAATCTTCACCTGAAACTAACAGTATTGTAAATCAACTATACTTCAGTAAAAAGCATGTGTACGCTTTGAAGTGAATATCAATGTCCATAGAAGTGTTTTTCACAGTATCATATGTAATAGAAAAAATCTGGAAATCAACCAAAAGCCTATAAATATTGGGTTGTTTAAATAAACTGTGTGAATCTCAATGTGGAATGTTATGAAGATATTAAGAATACTGTAGACTAGTATTTGAGGATGAGTAATTCCACGATGTATTATGTGAACAATGTCAATTGTAAACCATGTATCCTGTCTTGTCATTTCTGTCTATGTCCGTATGCACACACACACACACACACACACACACACACACACACACCCTCTAGGATCTGTGATTTGGGGAAGTAATTCTAACAGATAGCATTCAGTTAAGTCCTGTTAGTGATTGCCAGTTTATTAATGCTTAAGGAGAGTTATTTTAATATATATTGTAATAAATATATCAAGTATTGTTTCATAGCATGTCATAATTAGAAGTCGGTGCTTCCCAAACCAGTGAAGAGAGGGACCACTTTTTCCATGAACACAAATTGTGTATGTGTATGTTCTGTTTGTTTTAGCTATACTACACACAGATAAAAAGTGGGATTTGCATACAGTAAAGTGTTGCCTGTGGAAATCTCTGATTTGTAGGGTTGGGACAATTTTTATTTTATTTTTGGCAATTTTCTACACTTTCCAAGTGTTCCTCAAGGAACCACAGAATATTTTTTGTGATGAGAAAAAAAGATTTTAAATGGCAGTTTTTTTCAAATAAATCTCTTTTCCTATGAAATGGTTTCTAGAATAATGAAATCATCTTTTTGTTTAAAAAAGTGTATTTTTACTTTGCTTTTCTGAGGAGATTTAGTTTACATAAATTTTCATTCACATACATTTACACTGTCATTTGTTTTCCATGCACATTCTACTTTTCTGTTGGGTGAAATTTTCATGAGCTCTTAAAAGTATTGTTATGTTTGACTAGTCTTCTCATACTTTTTACTTTTAGGTTGGTGTTTGGAATGCTTTATCCTGCCTATTATTCATACAAAGCTGTGAAAACAAAAAATGTGAAGGAATATGTAAGTACAGTTTTATGAGTGATCAATTCTAGTTGAATGTATCCATTATACACAATACTAGGGAAACTACCATTATTTTAGAAACAGCTGGAATAATCTTTTGGGTTAAAAATGTGATATAAATATGAAGTTAGTCTTTTTTAAATCTAAACTTCACTAATTAAGAATTCCTAAGTGGAGTTTAAAAATTAGTTTGCTGTCAGTTGGCACTTAAATAAGTATGATTCCCAAATGAATCACTGGATCTCTCATTCATTTAGTCTGTAAGTTCCAGTGTAATAAGAAGTTGGGAAATTGTTTTCTAGCCTTGTAAATGGATGGGTGCATGGAAATTATGTCTCGCGAGTTCTAAAATCTGTTCCTTCTTTCATAGGTGTTTTGTCACTTTTTCATTAATATAAATATGCAGATACCCCATGACTACTGACAGTTAAAATCTCTTTTCTTCTTGAATCAGACTATTTTTGTAAAAATTTTCTGTCCAGTCCTCAATATTTCTTTTCTTTCAGTTTCGTCTTCCCCATTCCTTACCTGTTTTTTTTCTTTACTTTAAATAATTGTTTTTATTTTATTACTATTTTTTACACATTTCTGTAACTTCTTCCCAATATTACTCAAGATGTTCAATAGTAAATGGCCTTCCCCAACTATAAATGCTGGCCTAAGTTTACTGTTTGTGAAGAAGCATAGCTTATTAGTGGTTAATCAACAGGCATAAAGCAGTCAGCACTGAGAACTGCACGTCAGTAACTGTGGTTCTTTAATTGAGGTGACATTCTGATAACAAAGTTAACCATTTCATAGTGAACAATTCAATGGCATTTAGTACATTCAGAGTGTTATGCAAACACTACTTCTGTCTACTTCCAGAAGATTTTCATCACTCCAAAATAAGATAACATACCCATTATGCAGTTTACTCCCTATACTCCCCTCCCCACAGCCTCGAGCAACCACCCATCTGCTTTCTGTTTGTATGGATTTACCTATTCTGGGTATTTCCTATAAATGGAATCATATAGTATGTGACCTTTTTTGTGTCTGGTTCTTTTTACCTAGCATAATGTTTTCAGGATTCATCCACACTGTAGCATGTATCATTATTTCATCCCTTTTTGTGGCTGAATAATATTCCACTGCATACATATAGAACATTTTGTTTCTCCATTCATCCACTGACAGACATCTAGATTGTTTCCACCTTTTTAGCTATTACAAGTAGTGCTGCTGTAAACATTCGTGTACAGGGAATTGTTTGAGTACCTGATTTCAGTTCTTTGGGATATATAGCCATGGTTCTTTGTAAGGGATCTTGGATGGTTGCCTTGTTGTCCAACTCATCAAATGATCAGAGATCAGATGATGATTCTTTATTCTATTTGTTTAGGGTGGGGTTTTTTGTTTTTTTGAGTCAGGGGAAATTCTGACACCTTCATAAACAAACCCAATCTACTGAACGTTTATAGTCATCTTTTCTCTTTCATATAAAATGAATTTTTGAAGTAAAGTATATAAAAATCATTTAGAATGGTGGAATATATCTAACAGAGGTAGAGAGGTTACTCAGTTGAGCTCTAAAGTTTTTCTAACCTTTTAATATTTGTATGTATCTCTTGGATCTAAGATTGGTGAAATAGTCTTAAGAGATGGAACCACATTAAATCCTAGTAATTTAAAGTAACTTTGTAAGTGACTGGAAGGGACATATTTTAATATATAACAAATTCTTCAAATATTGTTTTATGGTCTGGCATACATTAGTATTTAGAAACCAACAATTATCTTCTATTAATAGTGTTTCTCAAGGTACTTGTGATAGAACCATTTTTTTAAATAATTTCCAGTAAGTCATAGACCAATACTTTTGTAAAGTAAAATATAAAACGTAATCACTGTAAAATGAAATGAAACCCCAAAAGCATACAAAATACAACCCAAACTTTTTTTTTAAATTATTAGATTCAATAGACATGAAGTTACTGTCAATTTTGTATTTAAAGCAAAACAACAACGCTTCACAGCCTTGCACTAGTCCACAGACAACACTTTGCCCTACAGTATAATATTCTAATTTAACTGGAATTGTCTTTTGAAAGATAAAAATAAGAGTTGCTCTTCATTTCCAAATACCACAAATATATAAGCTGGGGGCATATGACTGGTTAGTACTTAATAATTCTACTGGCCAATACAATCCTCCTTATTTGAAGTAATACTGTTATTAAATGAGATCTTTTTTCTGAATCTAGTTAATTGTGTAGTTGAAGTACAGGGTGATATTTCCCAGCTCCAGGCCCATTTTACCTATAAAGCATCATAAAGTCAGGATATACAGTAACTGGTGTACCTCTGTGTGTCTTTGTGTACATCTGTGCTTGCGATTTTCTATCTTCCCTCCCAAATCTGCATGATTTTGTTGGGGAAAAAAAGTTAAGGACAAATTAATAATGAAGTTTAGATGAGAAGTTTTAATAAGATGAGGATATTATCAGCAGGCAGGCAAATACCATCCCTAAAATAAAAGGTAAGAAAATAGCAAAAAAGAAATTTAAAGGTATAACAAATTACAGTAAAAAGAAATAGGCCTGGCATGTGTAAATTAATGCTAAAAAGGCAGAAAAGACCATGTTATTTAGAGGTTGTCCTAAGAACTATTATAAAAATATTAGTCCATTTCTTACTAATGCATCAATTTAACTTTGTTAATGTTAATTTTTAAGGACTTGAAAACATGAACTTGTGTATTTCATTCTCTTAATAAAACAGAAATCTTTATTACTGGATTATTCTATAAATTGGGGATTATTAAGAATGATCTAACCCTGAAATTTTAATGTTGCTTCATAAGTTAAAGATAACTTAACCTGTGGGAGAGAATCCATTAACATTCTTATTCAAACGGATGGAAAAACTGCAAGACCTGATACTTGTTGAATATATATACATATCTATGTACATGTGTATTTGGATATGTACTTCGCCTATTGCCTTATAGTTTTTAGAGAAAACTCATTAACAAAGTAGGAACTATCTGTACATAATTTTGCTATAGTATTGTGACTCTGAAAAAAGTTTTCTTAACCACCGCTTTGGGAATATCAGAATAATGAGTAATTGAAGAGAATCTAGGGAACTAGAAAGGCAGGTGGCTGGATTTGGTTTGATAATTACATCGCAATCAACTCTGCTTCACACACACACAAAAATGAGAGTTAAACACAAAAATAATCAGGCACTGAAACAGGAAAGGCAAGGAATCTGCCTTTGACAAAGAAATATGATACAACCCTGAAGACCTCGTGGTGACTCAGTTGTCTACTATCTAGTCTGCTCTTGAGACTAAACAGAGATATTATACTAGAAAAATAACATCTTACATTCATATAATTTCCCACCAATTTCCGAATATTTTTGTATATTACTGTTTCCAATTGCGACTTTAACAAATTACTGCATACTTACTGGCTTAAACCAACACAAATGTATTTTCTTCCATTCCCAGAGGTCAGAAATCTGAAATGGGTCCACAGACTACATTCTTTTGGGAGGCTCTAGGGGAAAATCTGTTTCCTTACCTTTGCTAGCTTCTAGAGGCTGTCCACATTCCTTGGCTTATGGCTGTAGTCCACCATCTTCAAAGCTAGAAACTTTGGGCTGAGACCTTCTCAAACTGCCATTTCTTTGGTTCTCCCATCTGCCGTCCTCGTCCTCTTATAAGGATCCTTGTGATCACCTGGGTCTTACCTGAGTAATCCAGCTCCTCAACCCACCTGGAGGTCAGCTGATGAGCAGTCTGAATTCCATCTTACAGGAAGGATATAGCTTAGTGGTAGAGTGCGTGCTTAGTATGCAGGAGGTCCTGGGTTCAATTCCCAGTACTTCTGTTAAAAATAAATAAATAAACCTAATTACCACCCCCCCAAACAAAACAAAAAGATGTTAAAGAAATAAATTGCAACAGATTTTTTAAAAAATTAAGTTAAATTAACCTTCTTAAAATCTCCCTGTTATATTTTTAATAGCCTCTCATACTATCTGTATTATATTATTTATATGTATATGTGTTTGTCTTCCCCACCAGCTCCATGAGAATTTTGTTATTTTCTTAATTGCTATATTCCTGTACCTAGAATAGTATGTTATATAATAGATACTCAGTATTTTTTAAATAAATGAATGAATAAGAAAAAGAGAAGTTGACTTTTAAGTATATAACAAATATTAAATAGTGTTTACAAGAGCATGTATATTTCTTAAGTGGATTGGTCTAGTTTCTCAGCTTTGAGTCTACCAGGTTAAGGAATACACAGTCCAGTCTGACTTACCTCTAAGCCCAGTTACTTTATGGTGTTTGGTTAGTACCTAAATTCTACTGATAATCTACTTCAAAATTATTTTCAGAAAGCAAACATTTTTTACTAATTTACTTCTTCCCACCCTAACTACTACCATTCCCCTTAAGCCTGCAAATAGTAGATCGCACCTGATAAAACAGATGCTGTGTTCAAATCAAAACAAATGGAAAGTGCTGTGTATTTTGGCAACCTTCCTTTCTTCCTTTGCCTATTTTTAAAACAGAGGTTTCCTAGGATATAATTTCCTGTATGGTGTGGCTGATATGACCTACTTAAAGTCTTTCAGTCTTGCAGTAATTGAAATGTAAACTTACTGAAGAATTAGTATGGTTTTACACATTTTTTTCAAGCTTATACCATCTCATGGCTTGAAAATAGAGTATTTACTCCCAAGTCATGTATAATTGCTGTAGCTTTTCTAGGAAACCAGTGTTCTTACCCTAAGAATATTGGAGAAAGTGGCAATAAAAAGACTGGCTAACAGCACTTACAAGTCAAAATCAGACATTTGGTCGTGAGATTTACCATGAGCAAGAACAAAGACCAGGAAAACTCAGGGAGATTAATTTTTTAAAGGCCCTCTAAAACCCTATTGACTTGATTTTTGAAAGTAACCTAATTTTTTCTGAATATTTGGATGATATG